TGTGGAGACAAAGATGGCAGAATATTATGGATGAAAATTGGTTTGCTATTACTTATATGCACAAATAGCATTTAAAATGCTGATCCCAGGATGGAAATCAGTTTGCTGTTTAAAATTATTTTTACTGATTATTGATTGTTTGAAATATTTATTACATACCTGCTTATGTGACCATTCCACTTTCGATACATCACTGTTTTTCTGATCTGTTTAAAATATATGATACATTAACATATATATTTTGCACACAATATAATTCAGTGTTTGGATAACATTCCTAAATTTGGAGGGAATTTACAATACTTTTTGTCACAAAATCAAAGTAAAAATTATTTCTGTCAATTTCAGTGTGCATGTTTGGATATGTGTTGTTTGTTATGATATATTACATATAGTAGAATTGCTATAAAGAAGATTTCAAGAGATTTGAAGTGTCACGACAAGGAAAGGAACAACATGTGGGCTGGCGTAAGGTGAACAGAGACGGGCTTTATTAGGCAAAACATTAACAGTTATGGGGAAAACAAAACACGAGGAATCAAAACAGGAGAACAGGGAACAAGCAGGGGAAAGGCTCAGGGTCAGACCGAGATCCGGGAAGATGAGCACAGTGACAGGCACAGTGACAGGCACAGTGACAGGCATATACAACGACTAATGAGGGGACAACGAGCAACAGGAGTGGCTCATTAGGGCCACACTGGGGAGGGGACAGGAGGGCCAGGCAGACTAATAAATGTTATTGATATGCAACTTACTGCAACATGTGTTGTATATCTCAGTATATTTTGCAAAATACTAAAGATATTTAAATAAATTAGATAAGATTTTAATAAGGGATATTGTGTTTCCCACGAGAGTGGTTTTAATGCGCAAAAATTTTATCTAGTATTAAAGAGTTCTGTTTTGTTATAAGCACATCAGTCATTTGAACAATATTTTTTGTCCTTCTTCTGAGTACATAAAGCCGGGCAGCGTACCTGCGCAGTGTGTACAGGTCATTTTACATCTAATACAAATGAGGGCAACGTTCAGAATAATGCTGCAAGATAAAACTATCAGCAAGCCAGAGTAAAGAGGATCCAGCAGGTTCTGATAGCCTATAACAAAGAAATAGATTTCAGCATAATGATATAGAAACACATTTTCCATTTGCATAGATTACATTAGTTAAAGATAAAATCTATAAGAAATTACAGCAGTTGTTTTTTAAGTAGTCAATTTTTAATATGAACTTTTGGTATTTTGCAGTTTAACTATTTGTATTAAGTAATATTTCCAATAATTATTAAATTAATATTTGTGTAATTAAGTGCATAAATAAAAAATTACATTACATTAAAAAAGCAAAATAAATAAGTCCATGTCTTAATAGCAATACAAGCACAACAGAAGTAGATATACTCTCCCCACTGGGTGTTACCATCTATATCCAGCTGTGTGCCGTTCCCAAACAGCATCTCCCCACACATGGCCACAGCGCAGTAGTAAGTCCCAGCATCAGAGAGGCTGAGGTTCCTCTTGGGGAGGCTGTAGACACAGCTCTGTGTAGGAGATCCAGCCTCAGGGCTCTTCTCACACTCATCACTCCTGTTTCTGTGGCTGTAAATGACTCCTGGAAGGGATTCTCCTGATCCATATCTGAACCAGTAAACACTGTGTTCTCCTGCACAGCTCCCAGTCTCTATTGTACACTGCAGGCTCACAGAGTCTCCTGGCTGCACTGTGTCAGACACAGGCTGCTGTACCACAGTCCTGCTGTTGGAGTCTTCACCTAAAAAGGCAAAATGTGCATGATGACAGCCATTTGAGAGAAAAAATGGAAAATGCAGATCCTCAAAGGTTATTCTTATTGATTTTGGAGAGGTTTGGTAACCAAAATGGTGTTCTTATAGTCATCCAACAAATCACCAACTTCTTGGAGAAAAAAACAAATTCTTGTTTTTTTTTATTGTTTTACCCTTTATTGGTATATATTCTTATCAGGATTGTGAGAAATTCAGAATTTATGAACTGTGCCTCATTACATTCATGAATTGGAATTTGAATTGGAAGAATTTAATCCTTTTCACTTCAAAAAATTAAGTGTGTAAAGTGTACATTATATTTGCATAATTTTCATGATTCTATCAATATCCATTTGCTTTATGTTGCCCCTTTTCCACAGGAAGGTATTTATTGTTTTTGCATATGTAGCTGTTGATGAATATTTGTATTTCTGCTGTAGTACCTGCATGGTTTGACTCAAGAGCAAAATGTATTATCTTTCCTTGTTGCTGTTTGCTGATTAATAGTTTGTCTCTTTTTTAGCACTAAATAAAAACTATACAAGGAATTACTTGGTTTCATTTAGTTGCTCCTATTTATTTTCTTATGCGTAGAAAAGTACGTTTTTCCGATCAACCACAGCACTACATCAAAAAGCAAAATGTCATGGCAAATGCAATTATGCTTTATTCCAATACACATTCAATAATAATGAAAAATTAGACATTTAGTCAGCATAATATCTGCAAAGGATTTACAATTTAATTTGCAATGTTCTGGCCTGAAATCGTTTCCTGCTACACTGAAGACTCTCTCAGCATGTGCAGAGGAAGCTGCAGCCAAAGGGTTGGCATCCTCTGATAAACATGGTTGGCTCAGGTACTGTAACACTGACATTATGTGAAGCTTTCATGACAGGAATAGGGACTAGTTTGACTTTTGATGCAGTAAAAGAGTTTGGGACGTTTCTTAGGTTAGAAACTGCAGTCACTGCAGCCAACACTAACTTTTAAGGAGAGACACTCAGCTTTTCCTATGAGCAGATCCACCATGGTACACAAAATGACAGTTTAATTATTATTTTAGGTGACACTTCAAATGTTACATTATTTAATTCTGAGCAAAATTAAATTTTTATAATAATGATACATAATGTTAATGTGTCTATGTGTAATTCATATTTAAATAATAGACTGTATAGTTAAAAACTACACTTACAGTACATATATGAACTTATTTGAATCCAAATCCTTTTTCATTTAACTTCCTTAAATTCAAATATGAATTGCAATGCCACATCCTGTTTTCAACCACAATTCAAATTTAATTCAGATTAACAAAATGAACTGAAATTTAAGGGCCATTCTCGAATAAGATCTGAATGGTGCACATCCCTGATTTTGATGTCAAATCATGTTTTTTTTCAGAGAAAGTATACACTGACTGCTCAGATAAATAACGTGAAAAATAATTTTCTTTTGTTGCTTAAGATTTTTGCACAGTCCTATATATAGCAACTCAAACATTTTTTATTTCACTTGTTTTAAAGAGGCTGCAATGTGTAACATTAACATCTGTATAAAGAGAAGGTTAGGCTTTTGGCTGAATATTACTGACAGCAAGCAAAATGTAACAAACTGTATAATAATAATAATAATAATAATAATAAATGATTTGTTTAATGTTGCTTAGAAAAACATTTATGGAGCAAAACAGACAATAAGGTGTCTAATTTTATATTGACACACAACTCAACTATCAAAAATATTTTACAGGGAATAATCTTACTGACAGTATAAAAAAGCAAATTCAAAAATATCTGGAATCTCATTTACCTGTGATTATGACAAAGGTTCCATTCCCAAAGGTGACCTCATGAAGAAACACAGTAGCACAATAATACACTGCAGAATCTGACGGCTCCACATTAGAAATGGTGAGGTTAAAACTCCCCTTTGCATTCTGTAAGGAGTAACGTTTTATATTTTTATATTCCTTGTAAAATTCACCAGATAAAAGATCAACTGCCTTCGCCATGAGCTGGGGCTTCTGACCAACAGCTTGCTTAAACCAAACAGCAAAAGAACCATCTTCTGGACAGAAGCATGTCAGGGTCACATTGTCTCCAAGCTCAACCCTCATCAGGAGACTGGGCTGAACAACATCCACAGCCAGTGCAGTGTCTGGAAAAACAGAAAAACACAAATAAACCTGATATACATCATAATAGTAAGCAAAATAACTATTAACTATGATGAAGATTAAATGGCCAAATAGTTATTCCACTGATCACATCATACAAACCTATGAAAATATTAAAATAAAATAATAATTCATAATTTATATTTTAGGACCCTACTCATGAAAATGAGAAGACCAAAGAGTCTGAACATCTTTGTGGTTCCACTTCTTTAACATAAACTGCTCTGCTGCTAAATGAGAGGTCATGGTCGTGGTCGGGGTGAAAGGGCAGGAAACAGAGAGGTACAAGATACACATCAGGCTGATCTGATTGGCTGTTCAGACAGGAATTTAAGTAATAGTGAAAAGGCATTCTAACCTACACTTACATGATGTTTATTAATTTACTCCTTAACAACCAGTTAAAATGAGAACAATTAGATAAAGAGGAACAGATACTGAGCATATGAATTTTTTTGTACGAAGTGCTGAGACACTATGGGAGGGCATTTGCTAATCGTCTTTCTCAGACAAGCTCAGCACAGTCTTTTGTTATCAATCTCACATTAGACAGTCTCTCAGTTTTTAAGTTTTCCAAAGCATTAGATCTTCTAATCATATTTAGAAGACAGTTTAAATATTGGGTAATGCTTTACATTAACTGCACCTTCATAATGCTTTTATATTGCATTCATAAAACGTTCAGTACACCTTCATAATGTATTCATTAAGTATTTATAAAACATTCATAAACATCATGTATGTATACCTTAACATCCTAACATCCCTTAACAGCTGCAATATACACTCACCTAAAGGATTATTAGGAACACCTGTTCAATTTCTCATTAATGCAATTATCTAATCAACCAATCACATGGCAGTTGCTTCAATGCATTTAGGGGTGTGGTCCTGGTCAAGACAATCTCCTGAATTCCAAACTGAA